AATCTGCTGAACTATAAAAAAAATATAAATATAATTAATATTATTCAAATATATATATATATATTTATATACACAAAATATCTAGGGATTCGAATACAAGATGAGATATGTTTATGCACATTTTCCAATTAATGTTCACATATCAGATGACGGATCTGAAGTTGAAATCCGTAACTTCTTAGGAGAAAAAGTTATTAGAAAGGTTAAAATGTTGGAAGGAGTTCAAGTTAAAATTTCTACTAACATGAAAGATGAAATTATCTTAACTGGTAATGATTTGGAAAACGTTTCACAATCAGGTAATAATATATATATATTCTGTTATTTGTTTTATTGACTTGTATATCTTTTTATATCAAATTTATCATTCTTGATAAAATAGCTGCAAACATTCAACAGTCTACCACTGTAAAAAACAAGGATATTCGAAAGTTTTTGGATGGTGTTTATGTTAGCGAACGTAGTACAGTGGTTAAAGAATAAATACCAAGGTTTAAATAAAAGAGCAACTATACTGTTTTATATTATTTGTATTAAACAATTGTAATAATGTAATCAAATTTCGTTTTGTCAATTTCGCTTCCATATAACAATCTATGAAGCGTATTTACTAGTGCTTCAAGGTTTGATTTGGGTCTGGTTTGAATTTAATCAAACCCCCAAAACCGTATTCTAAAATTTTATTAATTACAAACATAAACACAAAATCAACTCTAATTTTTCAAACTCAAACTAAATTGGAACTAAATTGGAACCTAATTTTAGGTTTAGTTTGAGTTTGAATAATATAAATATATTTTTATATTTTAACTAAGTTTACTTAAAGCATAAACTTATGATTTATTAGTTTTATTAGTGATTGTACTCGGGTTACTCGCGAGTAATCAGATAACCGGGTAATGACTACAGCTACTCGGGTAGATACACCGGGTAATACCCGGGTACCCATGTGAATTCCCCTAGTCACGTTTACGCGATATTTTGAGCATATACGCGCTTGCATAAACTTGATAGATATTATTATCTTAGCGTAGATATCATAAGAAATGGAATGTATATAAAGGGTTGTTCTCGCCCTTAGCCCACCATCTAGTTCACT